AAATAAATAAATATTAAAAAAAAAAGAAAAGAAAAAAGTACTATGGCTCCACTACAGACGTGCTGTGGGTTGGCAGTTAAATGCACAAGCTGCATGATCCAGGATGTGTGATGTAACTATTCTGACCTCATCAGTTAAATGCAAACAATAAGCCAGGCATGATAGCATGGGCCTATAATCACTAGCTATTAGGTAGACTGAAGCATGAAGATCACAAGTTCTAATCTGGGCAGCTTATCAAAACCTTGTCTCAGAACCAGAGATGTAGCTCAGTGGTGCAGACATCTGTCTGGCAAGTGCACATCCTGAGTTTTATTCCTGATACAAAAAAGAAAAAGAAAAAGAAAAAGATCTTGCCTTCTGAGTTCAATCCCCAGCTCCACCAAAAAAAAAAAATCTTGCCTCAAAATAAAATTACACAGGGCATGGTGGCACATGCCTGTAATCCCAGCACTTGATAGGCTGAGGCAGGATTGCCACAAGTTTGAGGCTAGCCTGAGCTACACAGTGAGTTCAAACCAGCCTGAACTTTATAGCAAGATCCTATCTCAAAAAAAGCAAGCAAACAAACAAAAAAATTGAACAAAGGGCTGGGTGTTCTGTTATCCCAGCATTCAGGAGTCAGGGGCAGAAAGAACTGGAGTTTGAGGCCAGATGTGCTATATAGTTGAATTCAAGGTCAGCCTAAACTACATAACGAGACCATTTCAGAAACAAAGAGCTGGGAATGCATCTCAGTGGCGAAGCGCTCGTCTAGAAAACATTAGGCTTTGGATTCAATACCCAGGACCAGAAGGGGGAAAAAAGCACCCAGGGAAACAATATTTACTTTACTGTGTAAGGATTTGGATAGTATCTCTAATTTATGTCTAATTTATGTTCTCACCCCTGAAAACCTGATTCTGATCTTATTTGGAGAAAGGGTCTTTGTAGCCATCATTAAGGATCTTTAGAAGAGATTATGCAGGGTTAATATGAAGTAAGCCCGAAGTCCAATGACAAGTGTCCTTTATACGACACAAAAGTAAAAGACATAGCAGAGGTCATCTGAAGACAAAGGCACAGAAACTGGAGCCACACAGCCACAAGGAATGACAGGAGCCACTAGCAGCTAGGAAATGTGAGAAAGGATTCTCTCAAAGAGCCTCTGGAAGGAGTGTGCCTTGCTCACAGCTTGATTTTGGGCTTCTAGCTTCCAGAACCTTGAGAAAATCAATTTCTGTGGATTTTAAACCATCTGGATTATGTTCATCTATTATAGCAGCCGTAAAGCTGCTCACAGGTTTCTCAGACTTAAGAGATGAGGGGCCAGGGAGATGGCTCAGTGGAATAAGTGCTTCCCTGGCAAGTGCAAGGGCCTGAGTTCAATCCCCAGTTCCGCAAAAAAAAAGAGATAAGATCTGCTCCCATAAGGCAAGTGACCTTTTTCTACTCTGTGAGCTATGGTTGAGATGTAGTCTGTCAGCTAAGAGTTCATGTGTTTAAGAACTGGTCCTGGGCTGGTGAGATGGCTCAGTGGTCTAAAGCACCTACTTAGAACAAGCTTAGCAAAGCACAGGGACCCTGGTTCGATCCCCCAGCACCACATGCCAGCCAGCTCTGCCCCCTGGTGGGCTGAGCTGGCCACACACACAAACACACACACTAAATAAATAAAATAAATTTTTTTAAAAAAGAACTGGTCCTCCATCAAAGTCCACAGGGCTAGGGGCCGGGGAGATGGCTTAGTGGAGCAAGCGCTTCCATGGCAAGCGCAAGGGCCTGAGTTCAATCCCCAGTTCTGCAAAAAAAAAAAAAAAAGTCCACAGGGCCATGAAGAGTGGAACAGTCATAGTGCTCATCCCCCTGTGGCAAGATGGAGCTGTTCTTTCTTTGGTGGTGGTGGTAGTAGTAGGGATTGTACCCAGGAAGTACTAAGCTACATATCCCTGCAACTCTTTATTTTTATCTTTTTGAGGGTTTCATTATGCAATTCAGGCTGGCCTTGAACTCACTTTGTAGCCTAGACTGCCTCAAACTCTGAGCAGTACTCCTGGTTCAGCCTCTCTACTGTTCACCACCACACCCAGTTTTTGTGTGTGTGTATGTGTGTGTTTGCATCTGGGTCTCCCTAAATTGCCCAGGCTAGCTCTGAACTTGTGATCCTCCTTTCTAGCCTGCCAAGTAGCTGAAATTATAGGCACACTCCTAAAACTAGTGCTATCATCTGCAGCCTCCCCTCCTAACCCTTCATACCTGCTTAACTTCTTGCTCCTGGCTGCAGTTTTCCCAGTAGTTGGTCACAATGAAAGCAGCATGAGCTCCAGTCAGGGCTAGCTCCACACTGGCTTTGTCATCCTGGTCTCCTTGCACTACTTCTGCACCTTGCCTCCTCAGCTGCTTGGCTGCCTTCTGCCCAGGGTTCCGGGTTACCACTCGAACCCTGAAAGTCCCATCTTCCAGGAGTGTTCGGGCCACTGAGCCCCCTTGGGCACCTGTAAAGTGTCAGAAAGACCAATGGGTCCCATGGAGGGTGAAGCCTGGAAGACACTGCTCCACTACAAAAGCAAACAGTCTGGGGCTGGAGAGATGGCTCAGTGGTCTAAAGCACCTACTTGAAACAAGCTTGGCAAAGCACAGGGACCTCGGACCTCGGTTCGATCCCCCAGCACCACATGCCAGCCAGTCCCGCCCCCTGGTGGGCTGAGCTGGCCACATACACACACAATAAATAAATGTAATAAATAAAAATAAATAAATATTAAAAAAAAAAAGCAAACAGTCGTATGTGATTCTCATAGTTACTTATGTGCCCACTTCAGCAGCATATATGCTAAACCATAGTTCGTTATTTTGTAGTACAAGAAATTGAACCCGGGCTGGTGAGATGGCTCAGTGGTCTAAGGCACCTACTTGGAACAAGCTTGGCAAAGCACAGGGACCGCGGTTCAATCCCCCAGCACCACATGCCAGCCAGCCCCGCCCCCTGCTGGGCTGAGCTGGCCACACACACACACACACACACACACACACATAATAAAAAATTTAAAAAAAAAAGAAATTGAACCCAGGGCCTCATGATGCTAAGTGAGCAGTCTGAGCCACAGCCCTGGTCTTATCAAAACACTTAAATAGGGGAGATGGCTCAGTGGAAAAAGCGCTTCCCTGGCAAGTGCAAAGACTTGAGTTCAATCCCTGGTTCTGCAAAAAAAAAAAAAAAAAAAAGTGAAAAGAAAACACTTAAATAATAGCTTTAATGAGATATATTCACTTTTTTTTTCAAGGCACTGAGCTATATCCTTAGGTCTTTTTAAAATTTTGATCGTTTAGTTTTGTCCTGAAATTTCTGGAACCAGCTCTCGCTATAGCTCAGTCTTGCCTTCTATTTCTAGGCCAACCTGGGCCTAGAAATAGAAGGAGTTTCTGATGCTCCTGCTTCAGCCTCCTTAATTCTGAGGTTTAAGGCATGCCCAGTTCACACTTTACACTTTCATTAAATTTTAGAGTTGATGTATATCTACCTGAAGTCTCAACTACTGAGAAGGCTTACACTCAAGAGGGTCACTGGGGCTGGTGAGATGGCTCAATGGTCTAAAGCACCTACTTAGAACAAGCTTAGCAAAGCACAGGAACCGTGGTTCAATCCCCCAGCTCCACATGCCAGCCAGCCCCGCCCCCTGGTGGGCTGAGCTGGCCACACACACACACACACACAAA